TAGAAACTTGTCATTGTCATCTAGATTTTCCAGTTTATTGGCGTATAAAGTTGCAAAAACATTTTCTAATAATCCTATGGATTTTAGAACTGTCTGTGGTGCTATCTCTATTTTTCATCTCCAAGTTTATTTATTTGAGTCTTCTCTTTCTTTTGGATAGTTTGGTTAAGCATTTACCAATTTTATTTATCTTTCAAAGAACCAACTCTTCATTGTCTTGTTAATGAATATTGTTTTCTATACTCAGTTTTATGTCTGATCTTTATTATTTCCTGTCTTCTACTAATTTTGGAATTAGTTTATTCTTCCTTTTCTAAGGCCTTGAAGTGGAACATGAGCTTATTTATTTGAGAATATATTTTTTAATGTAGGTACTCAATGCTATAAATTTTCCTTTTAGAACTCCCCACAGATTTTGATATGTCATAACTTTGTTCTCATTTATTTCTAAGAATTTCTTGGTTTCTTATCTCATTTCTTCTTTGATCCATTCTTTATTTAAAAAAGTTTTGGTCAATTTCCATGTGTTTATGTAGTTTCCATTATTTTTCTTGCTGTCGATTCCTAGTCTCTTTCCATTATGATCCGATAAAATGCACAAGATTATTTTGACTTTTTTGGATTTTCTAAGATTTACATTGTGACCTAGAACATAATCTATTTTGGAAAAGTTTCCATGAATTGCTAAGAAGAGAAATCCAGCTGTTTGGGGGGGGGGGGTAAAATATTCTGTGATGTCTCTTAAGTCCATTTGATTTATAGTATTATTTAATTTGGAAATATCTTTATCAATCTTACATTTTGATGATTTATTAGTGATAAGTGTGTGTTGAAATCACCCATTATTATTGTATTAGAATCTATCTGATATATTTTTTTGAAAAATATTTATTTATTTATTTTTAAGGTGTAGATGGACACAACACAATGCCTTTATTTTTATATGGTGCTGAGGATCGAACCCGGGTCCTGCCCATGTTAGGCGAGCGCTCTACCACTGAGCCACAATCCCAGCCCCTGATATATATATTTTTTTAAATATAGGGGTTTTTTTTTGTTGTTTGTCAGAGTCCAGCTCCAGCTGGACGAATGGATGGTGAGGAGTCTGCGAAAGGCAGCGGAGAAACAACACAGACACTAGAGTGAAGGTGCTGATTCTGATTCTTTACTTGTGAAGTTAATCATATATACTTTTCATTTTGGCAGGCTAACAGTATTTTGTGGTTACAAAACAAGAAACATTATTCAAGGAAACAAAATTTTACATAGCTACAATTAGATAAGAAGAATGTATCTTGGCTTATGCATAAGCAAGCATTTTTACTTTCAGTTCGCGTTTTGCTTTGAGCTGTTTCTGCTTAGTTAGCTTTTAATAATAGTTAGAAATGTCCCAGACTATTGGCCTATCCCTTGACTATTCTTTCTTGACTTACTGACTAGAACCAGCGCCACGAATATGGCAAGTGGTTAACTTGAAAAGAGAGGCTACTAATTTTAATCAATCAAGAGGAAGAGCATCAAACCATTGTGCACAAGAACGAGAACAAGTTGCCCAGTACCAAGCACTAATCTGTCTTCTTAACATTAGTTTTTCTTCTCTAGATTTTAATTTAATTTCTCAAAAATTTCCTTGACAAGGGAGAGAAACGAATTACAGTAGATGGGGTAGAGAGAGAAGATGGGAAGGGAGGGGAGGGGGGATAGTAGAGGATAGGAAAGGTAGCAGAATACAACAGTCACTAGTATGGCAATATGTAAAAATGTGGATGTGTAACCGATGTGATTCTGCAATCTGTATACAGGGTAAAAATGGGAGTTCATAACCCACTTGAATCAAATGTATGAAATGTGATATGTCAAGAGCTTTGTAATGTTTTGAACAAACAATAATAAAAAAATTTCCTTGACTGTTTTTTCTACAGGAGGTTTCTCATTAAACATTAACAATTTATGTTCCACAGCTGAATCATTGCATTTATAGCAAACAGATCTATTCATGTTTTTTCCTTCATGCTTAATGGTAATATGAGAAGTCGAAACTATACTTATTAACAGGAATACAAAAACAAACCAGCCCATTCCCAGAAACATGCTGCACTCCTCCAGAGGATGGACACCTTGTGCCATCCACCTCACTAGGGCCTTGCCTTTGCCTGAGTCAGGGGAGGGGCGCAACAGTTGTTGTTGTTTTTTAATATTTATTTTTTAGGTGTAGATGGACACAACACAATGGGTCCCACCCGTGCTAGGGGAGCGCTCTACCGCTGAGCCACAACCCCAGCCATCTATCTGATATTTAATGTCAAGAGGTATTTGTATTTATGTAATTGGGGGTACTGACATTTGGGGTACATATTTGCCATGTTTATATCTTCTTGTTGGATTATTCTCTTTTAAGGCTCACTTCTGACTTCTTAACTCAGATTCTAAAATCAAAGAAGGCCAGAAATGAGATATTCCAAGCTCTAAAATAAAGCAATTGCATTTTTTTTTTTTTTGCTTGAAAGCTGCATCATCAGATATAAGAAAGTTACTTCAGCTTGTTTTTGGACTGCATTTGCATGGAACATTTTTTTTTTCATCTTTTTACCTTTAGCCTTCCAGTGTCTTTGTCTATGAGATGAATCTCTTGCAAATAGCTTATAGTTACATCTTGTTTTTTGATCCATTCTACTAATCTCTGTCTTTTAATTGGAAAGTTGAGACAATTCATATTCAAAATTTGTGATTTCCTGTCATTTTGATTTTTTTGATATATTTAATATTTAATCATATCTCATTCTCATTTGGTTGATTATTCTTCTATTGATCTTTCTCTACTTAGGAGTTTTGGGATTTCTTTTGGTTTTGATTTCCTCCCTCTGCAGTTTATCTTTAAGTATTGTTTTTAGTCCTGGCAGGTTGTTCATGAATCTTTTTAGTTTGTCTTTGTAAAGAAAATATTTTATCCCCACTGAATTTGAAAGAGAGCTTTGCTGGATATAGAAATCTTGATTGGCAATTGTTTTCTTTTAGAGCTTAGAACATCTCTTATTCTTGGCCTTCTTTGGTTTTTGGGTTTGAGTTGAGAAGTCGGAAGTGAGCTTTGTTGGTTTGCATCTAAATGTGACGATGTTTCTCTTTTGCAGCTTTTAATATTATTTTCTTATTTTCTGCATTCATCATTTTGATTATGATATGTCTTGGTGAGCTTCTTTTCTGATTTGGTCTATTTGGGATCCTGTACCTTTCCTATATGTGGATGTCTTTCTCATTTCTGATATGGCAAAAGTTTTCTGTTACTATCACAATGAAAGTATTCCGAATACTTTTAGCCTGTATCTCTGTATTCTCCTCTATCCCAGTGATTCTCTGGTTTGGTCTCTTGATGTTATCCCAGAGTTCTTCTATATTCTGATAATGTTCTATCATTTTTCATCCTTTATTGCATACTGTGTACTCAAGTGAATTTTCAACAAATCAAAGTGGAAGGTGAAAAAATGCCTGAAATATTTTGAAAAATTTATCAGAGGTGAGGCAGAAGATAGCAGATGTAAACTGTAAAGAAGAAATAGAAAATTAATTGAAATAATTAAACAATAAAGAGAGAAAGAAGGAATAGAAAAATTTGTGTGTTAGTGGGGGAATAGAGTGAAGAAGGAGAGATAGGAGGGAAAAGAAGCTAATCATGAACAAATGAGCAAGTGTAGGATCCAAATAACTTGAATCCTTGTATAATTATACTCCACCTAAGTCAATTCAAGTCTAAATAATTATAAAATGCAGAAGAAAGTTATCAGTGTAAAGTAAAACTATATGATATATATGACATATTTTTTCAACCCATCTACACAAAAAGAACTCTCTTTCTCTCTCTCTCTCTCTCTCTCTCTCTCTCTCTCACACACACACACACACACACACACAAAATCATGCATATGGAAAAAAGTAAAAATAATACAATACAATGCAATGATATTTGAAGAAATTTGGAAAGTTAAAATTTTAAAAATGAATAAAAAATAAATAAAGGGAATACAGAGAAAACAAGAAATATGCAAAAATGAAAAAAAGAAGAAAAGACTCTTAAAAATATATATTTTTTTAAGTTGTAGATGAACACAATACCTTTTATTTTATTTATTTATTTATTTTTATGTGGTGTTGAGGCTTGAACTCAGTGCCTCACATGTGCTAGGCAAGCATTATGCCAATGAATTACAATCCCAGCCCCAGAAAGGAATATTTTTTTTTAAAAAATTTTCTATTTGTTCTTTTTAATTATATACAACAGTAGAATGCATTTTGAGATATCATTCATACATGGAGTATAACTTCCCATTTTTGTACTTGTATATCATATGGAATGAAACTGCTTATGCATACATATATGAACATAGGAATGTTATGTCCCATTTAATTCTTGTCTTTCCCATTCCTATCCCTTCTCTACTCCCCTCTGTCCAATTTGGTGAACCTCCACCCCACTTCCCCCATTGTGAGTCAGTATTTGTATATTAGAGAGAACATTTGGCCTTTGTTTTCTGGGGATTGACTTATTTCGCTTAGCATAATAGTCTCCAATTCCATCCATTTACTGACAAATGCTATAATTTCATTCTTCTTTATGGCTGAGTAGTATTCCATTGTGTATATGTATCACATTTTCTTTATTCATTCCCTAAGTTGGTTTCATAGCTTAGCTGTTGTGAGTTGAGCTGCTATGAACATTGATGTGGCTATGTCACTGTACTATGCCAATTTTAAGTCCTTTGTATACAGACTGAGGAGTGGGATAACTGGGCTAAATGGTGGTTCCATTCCAAGTTTTCTGAGGAATCTCCTACTTCTTTCCAGAATGGTTGTGCCAATTTGCAGTCTAACCAGCAGGGTATGAGTGTACCTTTGTCCCCACATCCTCGTCAGTATTTATTGTTACTTGTATTCTTGATAATTGTCATTCTAACTGGAGTGAGATGAAATATCAGTGTAGTTTTAGTTTGCATTTCAGAAAAGACTCTTAATAACATATTTTTTTCTTTTTTTAATAGAGTTTTCACTCATTTTGTTCCACTTCCAAGGAATGTTTTTGTGGGAGTCATCATTGATCAACATAGTACTTCTTAATAATATGTTTCTGGCTCTCTGTGTCTTTAGAGTTCCTTTTATAGTCCAGTATTAAATTTCAGTGAATTCCCTTTGTTACTCACCTCTCTGAGGAGCAGTCTGTCACTGTAAATATGGTGTTCAGAAACTGCTGGGATTGTACCCTTCCTTGAATCTGCCATCTGCTGTCCTCTCACTAACTGTAATGTTTACTGCTTGGTTGTGCTATGGCAGTGTGATAGGCTGCCAAGAGACAAATAAGGACACTTGGAGGTGGGATATGAGATGTAAGTTTCATTGAGAAATGCTTATGTGGAAGATCTAGTGGCAACAGCTAGATATATATTTCATCAGACAGTGGGCCAACAATTTGTACTTCTGCTCCATGTTGTACCTCCAGTACCTTGCCAGAAAGCCCAATAGCAATGCACTAGACAGGTGTGTCTCTGGTATTTTTCCAGAAAGTCCAGGGAGACCACCTGGATGAGCACTTCCCTTTCTATGGTATTCTGATCCACCCCAGTTACAGCAGGAAGGGGGGTTTTATAAGTTAGGCTATAGAAGTAGTGACAATAATTTGCTTAGTTTCCTTTGTTCCTTGTATGACTAGTATCCCAAGGAGCAGCTGCCCTGGTGTACATGTAAGAAAGTAGCTTTCTGTAGATAAGACTAACCTGCTCTTATTTCCAGAATATATGAGAGAAAGCCAGAGTCCTTCCATGTGTATCCAGACATTGTGGCTCACACCCACTTTCATTGTGCACTTAACTTGGTTAGTTTGTTTTGGGAATGGAAAGGGCATTCAGGGATATGGTGTTTTGTTTTTAACTTTTCTTTAGGGGCAACACACTGATAAGTTTTGTAATATAGAACTAATAAAAGCTCATTATACTAGTAAACATGTGGGAAAATCATGCGTCTGTATTTTATTTAATGCTAAAAATGCTTTAGACATGCCTGATTTACTCAAACCAATAATATTCTTATTTTCCAAAGATTACTCAAGTCATGTGAATTTGAATAGCATTTGGGTTATGTATTAGTGAACTATTCGTCATAACGAAGCATTGGATACAGTTAACTTTACAAGAGGTTTATTTAAGTTTACTCTTGGTGGTTCAAGGACATGGTACTTCCATTAGCTCAGTTCTGGTGGGAGCTGTCACATCATGTCAGAGAGGAATAGTGGGAGTATATATGAGAGTGTGGTCACATCTTGAGTCAGGAAGTAGAGAGAGCTGAGTGGGGTCCAACTTGCTCCTTTCATAACCACGCTTTTTGCAAGTGCTACTTAAGAAGTCACATTAGAAAATGTCTCATGGATCCAGTGATTGAAGGACATGGTACTAGACCCCCTCCCCCCCATTTCTTAAAGATTCTACCACTTTCTAATACCATCACTCTGGGAACCAAGCCTCTAATTACATGAACCTTTGTGGAGACACAATTAAACCATATCAAAACCATAGCAGGTTTAGTTCTTAATTTTCTGAAAGAATGTTTTATTTGTATAAGCACTGTTTTCCTTTAGTTCAATAAAATAGCACTCTTTCACAATTTATTTTTGACAATTTTGTAAGGAGGTAGGAAAATATCACACATACATATCATACATCTAGATATACAGAAGCATATAATCAGAAACAGATCTTATTACTTTCATTTAAAATTTTTAGTCATATGTCAGGTACAATAACACAAAACTCATTAATTTGTCAAAGTATGTCTGATCCAAATTGGGTTTTTTTGATCAAATGAATAGGATTTCCTTCCCAGATGGCTAAAGCTTTTGAATATTTGTTAAAAAAAAAGTTTTTAAGATTTTAAAAAATAATTTTCCTCCTGTAAGTATTTTTTTTCAAAGATGCAACCTTTGTTTCATTTACTCTTTTAGATGCCTTTTTGTATCAAATAAAGAATGCATCTCATTGATTTTATGGCATTTTAGATCCTGTTTGTCTTTTGTTAAATTACTTTATTGTCATATGATAATTATGGTGGAATAAAGATCATTAAAATTTAACAAAAAAATAAATAAAACATAAAACTATTCTAAAATGGTGGTGCAGTTGTAATTATACACATACATTGTATCTGCACTAAAACTTTGTATAATAGCATTCTTTGGCTTTATCTTAAGTAATAAAGTTTGGCACTTTGATATGACAAGTACGTAGTTTAAATAATCAGGTAGAAAAATTTAAATTATAAAAATATTTGAGTGTTTAAACTATACAAGGAATTTTCTGAATGTTGTTGTGGTAAGATGTGAGGCAAAGATAATATGTTTATGGGTAAATAAGATCCCCAAACTGAAAACTGTCCATTGAAGGGCATACAGGCAAATGGGTTCATTTCAATGGTCTGTAGTTTGAGTTAGATAAGAAATTTTAAGAGGCAGTTGTTTTGCCACAGCAGGAAGAATATGCTTATCTTTTCTTTTAAATTATCAGCAATTCGTTGTATGTGAATGTTGTGCTCAAAGGTCAAGGTAGATTTTTCCTACACATGTGATGTTTTCCCCACCTTTGGCTGTTATTACAGAGTACCCCCAGATTCAATGTATCTTTTATCAGCTTATGTTCTAATAATGTAACAAAGTTGGCCATTTGTAATGTTTTTAAAAGTGTTCTGCTAAAAGAAGATGAAACACGTTTGAGAGAAATGTAGACATATTGTTTTTCCATGGACAGACCTCAGGAAATACAATTATGGAAAAGTCTGTCTTGTTTTTCAAACTGAGGATGATGCAAAATTCTTGAAGCCAATTCATTTGAAATACAGCCTCAATTCAGAAATTGGAGACAAGTATCTACATGCTTGTACTTTCTAAGGTCAAGGTGCAAGTCTTCCTTATATGTAAATGTTCTTTGCATATTTCTTTTGGTTAGTCTTGAAAAGTATTAACTTATGTCCACAAAATTTGCATGTTCCCATCCATTTAGTTATATGTGTATCTCTCTTTCCTGACATCTTTATTTTCTTCTTCTATTTCCATGAGCTTCTCATCCTTTGGTTCCAGAGACACACATGAACCAATAACTTCATCATATTTCACAACACAAAAATCATATATTATTGAAAAATGATTACCATTGTTAATTACTTTGAATACAGAAAAACGTGCATTTATTTAAACTGCTTTGACGATTTTCTTCCAAATTGATATATTTTTAATGATAATTCATACAGTGACAAAAATGAGTTCATTCCCTTCTATCTTTCAACTTGTAATTTCTTGTGACTTGCCCAGTACTGTCAATGAAAATGCCATCTGACCAGGATTCAAGACTTAAAATCATGTACTGTTTTTTCTCCCTCACTTTTTGTTTTCTTCAGATTCCAGTAGAACTAAAATAAGCCATTCAAACTTGAATTTATCCCATGCATTTGCTATTATCTGTTGATATCATTTAGAAATACTCCCAAGTAGAAATATTCCCTTATGTTGATGCTCTCTAGTCCTCATCTACATTGTGCCTTCTCACTTTATTACCTTTCTTTTAGAGACAGCCTTTCCAGCTAAATAAACTATTACAATGTCCAATTTAATTTTTGTTATAGTTTAACATTAAGATTCTCTCCGGCTCAATAGTTCTATTCTTATTTCCTATTTACAACACTCTTTAAACTGACTTTCCTGCTTCTAGACTTGAACTCCTCCAGACTAGTATTCACATGCATCCAGAAGCTTAAATTTATTCATAGCACTCTACCACTTAAGGTCTGGCTCAAATTCCCCACTTCTACAGGATATATTTCAGATTCTTCAGGACGGCCTTCAGAGCCCACCATGATCTGACTTTTACTTCCTTTCTAGTCCTCACTAAACTTGAGTACCTTTTCTTCCTGCCTCACTTTGCATCGTACACTCCAGACATGATCATTTACTTCTAGAGAGCCCAGACAGCTTCACTAATTTCCTTTTCTTTTCCTGCAATATTATTCTGTTTATCTTGCAAATATAAACTCAAATTCCAGTTTCTTTGAAATGTTTCCTAGTCTACCTTCCTACTTGAAGGCTGGACTTCTTTCAAAGGACCTGTAACACCTTAAAGCATTAGCAGGTGTATTAAAAGTTCATGTGGCAGAAATTACACACGAACTCCCTCAGTCTTCACATACTTTCTGACCTGTCTTGTTAAAGACATTGGAAACAAGAAACTGCGTTAGATGCTTTAGATGTGTAAAAGTCTCCACCAACTATACTATCTTATGAGAACTCAGAAGTCAAATGTTTTCTTTTTCCTTTCCTTTCCCTGTCCTTACCCTTCTTCCCTATCTTCCTCCTTTAAAAAAACTATTTTGCTAATAGCATGCAGGGTGTGGGATGTGAGTATTTAGATTCAATGACCAGCCTCAACATTCTACCTTAAGGAAGCCATCCTCATGCGTAACTGGAGACAATGTAGCAGTGCATCAGTAGAGTGCTGCCCTCTGTCCTGCAGCTTCATGATGTGAGCCTGAATTCAATAGTCGGGTGATGGGCCACTAATTTTGGCTCTTCAATGCCTCCCAGAGTTTTTAGAGATGCCTATTTCCCTGTGGTACATATCTTGTGTCTGACATGCCTGAGATGGTTTAGGTTTCCTACCCTGAAGTCTGATTCAGTTTGCTTCATTTAAACTGTAACTGCTTTGAAAATAGGAATAAGGTTTTTTTAAAATTACAGGGTTGATAAACTATAGTTGTATGTATTTATGGGGTACAAAAGGTATTTTTGAACACAATGTGGAATGATTAAATCAAAATAATTAACATATCACATTTAACTTTTTTTGTGATGAGAACATTTGAAACTAAACTCAGTGATGTTGAAATATAGAGTATTGCGTTATTTGTATTCATCATGTTGTGCAATTGATCCAAAAAAATCATATGTATTCGTCTAACAGGCTTTGTACACTTATTTATTATCTCTATCCACCCTCCTCCCAACATGTATAAACCATCATTTTTATTCTCTGGTTCTATGAGCACGATTGTTTTAGATTCCATATATAAA